AACCCCAATGAGATTTATTGACACAGTGGCTGCAATAATGGGCTCAAATATAAGAATTATGAGTTTGGCACATAACCAGGTAATGTTCATTCTGTTATGCGGAGGGTCACTATGATTCGGAGAAGACACAATGGCACCTAAAAATAACAACCACCTTTACCCAGTGTTTTTCCTCCTGAAGAGCCACTGGCTAATTCAAACTGCCAACATTTTAGTTAGCAGTTAAGTGTGTGACATTTACACCACCAGGGCTCTTTAAGGAAAAACTAATTCAATGAATAAATCACTCAGAAAAAAGTATCTATCATCCCTTCTATATCACTGATGCCTTTATTTATCAAAAGGCATCATTTTCAATTTTCCAGTCCTTAAAAAAAAACAACCTACTTTGTGCACAGTGCTGGGGTCTTAAAACCTTGCATGCAACCATCCAAAGTACAACTGGTCTCTATTTACCTGGAGCAACAGTGGAAGACAGATAGTCAGGGATAGGAAGAGAATTTGATTTGGAGTGTGTGGTTAATTTCCAACATGAACAACTTACTCCTTTGCTATGAGACCAGAAGAACTAGATCATGATTGGCTACCATTACGGAACATTTTGATAAAAGATTCTATAGCAGAATTCTGATCAAAAGACGAGAAATACAGAACAGGATTTAAAATTTTCATGGACTCCAGACTTTCTGGAGTCATAGAGGATAGATGAGCCCCTGAAACTATTGCTCTGGGATAATCTTTAAACCGTAAGCCAAAAATATCCCTTGACATCTGATAACCAAATAACACTTTAGCTTAACTTGTTACCTTGAGTATTGTGCTCTTTTAAGATCTATCTATACCAGATCAAACTGACAACAGAAACATGAAAGATTAGACAGGAAAGTTAGGGGGCAGTTAAGTTTGCATTCATGAGGTTGGAACAAACAGAAAAAGGAGGTTGAGAATGGTTGAACAACTTGACATATGTAATCAACATCATTGACTTATGAATGTAGAAATTATTGAACTGGTATATGTTCTGCTGTGGGTATTCTTGGAAACAACAACAAAAATTTAATAAACTATATATTTTTAAAACCCACTGCCACCAAGTTGATTCAGACTCATGGTGATTCGATGCGTTACAGAGTAAAATTGCCCTAAAGGCTTTCTTGGCTACGATCCTTATGGAAACAGATTTCCAGACCTTTTCTTTCGTGGTGCTGTTGGTAAGTTCAAACTGCTAAATTTTTGTTAGTAGTCAGATGCAGACACCACTTGTGCCACCCAGGAGACATTGTTGTTGTTAGGTGCCATCTAGTAGTTCTGACTAATGGTGATCTTTAACTCATATAACTTCCCACCCTACACAGTGGTAAATTTCTATACAATATACATACAACTTTAGATTCTGAAATGAAAAGTACCTTAACAAAGCGACAAAGTCTTACAGCATCTTCCCATTTTGAGCTGCTTACATATTCATGGAGGATCGCAGGATATGGTGATATGCTGATATGAACCAACGAGCCATCAGCTCTTCTTACAGTTACCTGATTTCCAACAAAACTCACAATATGAGGGTTTTTACTGAATTCACTGTTGAAAAGAGCAAGGTACAATTTAAAGTTATATTCTGAGTAAAAATTTTTACATGTAAACTATATTAAATTTGAGGAATGGATACCTAAGATATATATGACATCTCCAACCCCAAACACAGACAGACAAAACTGAGTAACTGCAGGAATTGTCACACATACATTTGAATTTAATTTGCAATATGCACTTAAATAAAGTTTTAAATGGCAAAAATAATTACATATTTGAGAGCTGTTCCTAAAAGCAATTGAAATTACCTATTTTTTCCCTCCCTGAGTTTTAAGAAAAATCACTTTTAATGATTAAATCATTCTGCATCTTTGCTTTTAAATGTATAAAAGTGTATACCAATAAATATTAAACTGAACTCCAAGATTACTTTCTAATAATAAAAAGTAAAAATTAAATAAACTAACATCTGTTCCTTAATTTAGTTACTTTAAAAAATAAGCTACTTTAGTTTAGCACCTATCTAGTTTTGCTAAGGTTGTACACTTGAATATTAAAAATGAACTCAATTTGAAAGCTAAACTGAAGTTTGGAGTAGAGAAGCTTTCGTATTCCTATTTTGTCTAAAGTAAGAGACTTCCTTGGTACTTTTTAGAGAATTCAAGAAAATAAATGCATTTGATATTCTGAAACATATAGAAAATTTAAAACAACAACAACAAAAACTTCAGTAGCCTTTTTTTTTTCTTTCTCTGCCTCAAACATCAAGTAAAAATATACAGATACTCCTGAAAGTCTTAGTATCAATGAAGCTTTCAAATAGAGGGAAAAATTGACTAATTGTCACAAGGTTGTATACCACTGAAAAATCTTGAGTGCCTGTATTAAAATCACTAAACCATACTGAAAAAACCATTCCTGAGTTGCCATTAAACAACATTAAACTTTAAAATTATATTCATATAAAGGACAAATAGCTTGAATTATGCAACATTTTCAACTTAATTCCATCATTTAAATCTCATTAAGCTAGCTTTAACAGAACAATTTATTTAGTTGATTCTAAAAAGTACTTGTATAATTAAAATTAGAGGCAAAAATGTAACATTCTATTTATGTTTATAAATATTTTAATCAGTGATTTATAAAAACTCTATTAGACTTTATTTATCACAATAAACAGAACTCTATACAGTAAATGTTACCTTGCATCCCTTTCATATAATGTTTTGGACAAAATGTCTTTGTCCACATAAACTGTATTAGGGTAATACCACACTGTAAACCGAGTATCTTGAAGTCCACAAAGAATATTGCATGTATCGCTCCATGCCAATGTATGCACCATTGTACCTTAATTTAAAAAAATGTTAATGTACTATTAGTTCCAATTTATAAACATCAAAATATATTTTTTAAATGATTAGGCATAGAAGGCCCAGTCTAACTTTTGGTTGGTATGACTCTATTTTCTGGTTGTATAGTAGTGAAAAAATATGTAAAAGTTCATATAAGAATTCAGAAAACATTGGAATGTTCTAGCAAGAGTCATTATATTTTTAATTTTTAGGTCTTATTTCAATGCAAATTTACCTGCAGTAGCTAGAGATTTGCTATTAAAACATAGTCAAATAGCTCAGAAATGTTATGACTGTTATTCAGAGTCACTCAAGCAAGCCAATTATTCAATTTAATTATGATATATTGAGGAGACCTAAAAAAACAGAAAGTAAAAATTCAAATTGATTAAACATGTTTTACCAAGTTTGATGATTTGTTCTTCTTTCCCAAATCGTTTAACTGAGGTAATATAGAGATCTCTATTTTTATCAATGAAAGCAATTTTTCTGTCATTGGTAAGTCCTTTTTGATCCAGGGCAATTTCCAAGATTTCATTCTAAAGTTTAAAAAACAAAAATACTAGATGAGTTTTAGTGCTTGACATCAGCTCATTTAAATTATTTAACTATTAGAACATTTTTTAAAAGGACCAATTCAATTTTATTCCTCTACTTAAAATGATAAAAATAACCTTGTTAAATAATTGAAAACTGTCTACCAGTTGCTCCTTGGAAACCCCATACAGGGTTACTATAAGTTGGAACTGACTCGGACTTGACAGAACTTAACGACAACAACAATATGCTAACTACCAATCTTCTGTTAGTTTGTCATACTGTGGTGGCTTGTGTGTTTGTGTGATGATGGAAACTATATCTCTACTAATTTAAATACCAACAGGGTTACAGGTTTTCAGTGTTTTACAGGATTTCAGACTAAGATAGACTATTACTGTTGTTGTTAAGTGCGGTCTAGTCAATTCTGACTCACAGCAACCCTGTATAAGATTTCCAAGTAGCAGCTGGTGGGATTGAACTGCTGAACTTGTAGTTAACAGTCCAGTTCTTACACTACAGTGCCATACCATTTCTTAATGGTTAGCCACTGAAAGTGAAAAGTATGGTGAAAGAATACAACCCTGGTGCACACCTTTTCTAATTTTAAACCATTTAGTGTTTTCTTGTTCTGTTTGAGCAACTGCCTTTTGGTCTACATACAGGTATCTCATGAACACATTTAAGTGTCCCAGAATGCTCATTCTCCACAATGTTGTCCACAGATTGTCATGATCCAAACAATCGAAAGCCTATGCATAATCAATAAAGCACAGATAAACATATTTCTGGTATTTTCTGCTTTCACCCAAGATCCATCTGACGTCAGCAATGATGTCCCTCATTCCACATCCTTGCCTAAATCCAACCTGAAGCTCTGATAGTTCCCTGTCAATATACTGTTGCAGCTGTTTTTAAGTTCTCCTTAGTAAAATTTACTTGCATGTGATATTAATGCCTTTGTCCAATGATTTCCGCATTCCATTGGGTCACCTCTCTTTAGAATGGGCAAAAATATGGATCTCTTCCAATCAGTTGGCCAGGCAGCTGTCTTCCAAATTTCTTGGCATAGATGTGTGAGTGACTTCAGTGCCACATCATTTTGTTGAGATTTCAATTTGTACTCTATCAATTCATGGAGTCTGGTTTTTTTACTAATGGCTTCAGTGCACCTTGGACATCTTTCTTTAGTGTCACTTCCTTTAGTGTCATATGATACCTTTTGAAATGTTTGCATATCAACCATTTCTTTTTGGTACAGTGATTTTGTATATTCTTTCCATCTTCTTTTGATGCTTTCAGCATCATTCAATATTTTGCCCATAGAATCCTTCAATATTGTAAGTTAAGGCTTGAATTGATGGAATAAAAACTGAAATCTTTCAAGAAAGTGAGG